AACCAATTTGACAATAAATTTCATATATTGGAAAAAAAATAAAGTTAAAATAAAGTTCTAAAAAATACATAATATTTTAGTACATTAAATATTTGAATATATAATATCATAAATTTTTATAATATCTCTTTTGCAGAAACAATTCATTCAATAAGAGTTCACATACTTAGTGATGGTCAGATTTCCTCTCCTAAATTCAATAACCCCTCAGGTTTCAAACTATTGAGTGGGCTAGGTCCTGGAATGTTTTATGGATACAAATATGAACCCAAGACAATCCCTACTCTTAAAATCCTCTGATAAGTAATTAGAATCCCAATCATTCAGGAGAAGAATGTCATAAATTTTCCAATATATACAAAGATCTGGCCAGCCGCTACAGTATCTATTCTCAGACTCCTCAGAATATGCCTCCTTCCTGATCCCACATTTTAGTTAGTGAGAGCTAATAAATGCTTACTATAGGCACTATTCTAGGCTATTTGTTTATCCTAACTCATGTATTCCTCCCAACAACCTTACCAATAGATATTATTAATATCCCTATTTTTCAAAGTGGTTAAATAAATTGCCCTGGGTCACACTGCTAGCAAGTTTCAGTTAGGACTTCTCCAGCATCTGTGTTTTAAAACCCCAGACATAGTGTCTCTTGAACATATTTAAGTCAGCTCTATTACTGTGGCTTAATTCTCACTAAACATTACACAGTGGACTATGTGACATCATCAGGGGAATATTGCTGAAACATGATGGCCTAATGAGAAATCCCAGGAGACCAGACACTCCTTGTTTCTCTCTTTGATGCCAGGCCCAGTCCCACAACCAGTTCATGTCAATTGTTGAGTGAATATTCATAACTTGCTTTTGCATGTTCTCTTCCCTGTAGCCTAAACCTCATGTTACCCTGGAGATGGACTAGGACAGTTTCCTGTAGGCAATCACAGCAAAGGACCTTCTGTAAGATCCCCAAATTGGCAGGACAAAGGTTAGGAGGGTAAAACAAAATTTCACTTGCATGATACTGAGAATAAATATCTGAAATTTTGCACCTTATATGTTTTGTTTGCCTCCCCTGAGTCTAGCTTGCCTCCACCCATTGTCCTGCAGATTCATGTGGCTGCTCTGTGTTTTACCTCCAGGTGGAAGTAGAGGTGGAGAGCATTACATTTAATCCTCATCATGGACTCTGGCTGGTCCAAATAAACTTCCAGAGTGTTTGTTCTTAACTAATCCTTTTTTGAGAATTCTATCAGGCTACAGAATTCTTCAATCCTATAGCCTGATTGACTGATCAATCCTGTTGACTGATCAAAATCTCTTTAATTAAGAACACTTGTGGAAAGGAAAACAAATCAGTGTAACATTTAATTTTAAAATATTTTTTAACAATGTAGTTTATGCCACTTCCTTATGAATTGACCAATTAGACTAATTTTAAACTGCAAGCTCTTTAAAAAAAATGTTATTATTGAAGTATAATTGACACACAATATAAAGTGCAAGCTCTTTGAAAGTTGGGAGGTTTGTAACTGACTGATACGGAGTCCCTGGCTTATATCTTGCAAATGCCAGAACTTGGTAAGTGCTAGAAAGAAGACATTGTACTTCATTCTGATGGGCTGATTGCTCTATGCATAGTTTAAATATTATCCCCCACATCTGTAGTGTCTATTTGGGAGACTTTCTACCATATAACTACTTCAAAGAAAGACAAAGAGTGCATCTAGAAAAAAAAAAAGGCCTCTTAGTGGTTTTGAGGTAGAGGATTCAGGAAGGCCATTCTAAATGGTTGCATTTTCCTATGGAAGCACTGCACACAGACCTCATCCATCTTTTTGATGAGGCTGCATGAAAATGCAGTAAGAGATCCTCAAGGCAACATACTAATGGCCACAATGGCAATTTTCAAGACCAAGGCAGGCTTGGGAAGATTATTCCACTGAGAGAACACTACTCTTATGTTCTGAGCAGAACATCTGCACATATCACTTGTAGCATGGAACAATTTGAATCCTGGTTCTAAAATCAGTAAAGCATTTTATCCAATGCATCACAGGGCAGATTTCTTGGTTGTAGAAACCATTGCTTAACAATAAGCCAATGTATTTGCTGGCTCTTACTGTCCATCTGACGTGAGTGCCTCTAGAGACTACAGGGATATCTGTAGCACCTCTTGCAACAGAGGATAAAGTAGAACTGCATAAAAATGAGCCAGATTGGTGTCTTAAGCATTCGGGCTTTTGTCTATACTTAGCATGTCTCATTGGTTCTTAGCAGCTGGGGTAGAGAGGAGGGAAGTTGGTGCTTGACTCATTGTTCATTTATCCAGGGACTATTGCTGCATGCCTAGGACATGTCAGGCATTATACAAGATGGGGATGGGATTAGGGGTAAACCATAACCAGGACAGGCCCCTCCTAATGGAGATGTATCCTTGAGGTGAGAGGCACAGCAGAGCAGTATTGTGGCAACACAAAGCAGCCACTTAATCCAGCTTGGGGAGGCAGTGTGTAAGTGTGTAAGCAGATCAGAGTCCAAAAGTCTTCCCAGAGGAAATGGCATCTAGACTAAGCTAAAGAATGAGTCAGAGGTGACCAGGCAAAGGAGAGGCAGGTGGCTGTTGGTCACAGGCATTCCAGCCAGAGGCAACAGGCAGAAAGAACAGGGGCTTCCTTGGGCTTTATGGATGCCCTCACAGAACTGGAGCTGATTGGCACCCACTTGTCATTGTTCAAGCTATACTGACAGAAGAAAGCCAAGGTGGAAGGTTCCAGCTCTGTCTTTATTTAGCATTTTCAACCCAGAGTTTGTGGTCTTTATAAAACCTTACTGATTAAAAAGGGCTTTTGTTTATTACCTCAATTACAATATATATAGAAGGAATGCAAGGGTAACAAGAAAACACTGCACAATGTTAAAATACACATAGTTGTAATTTAATGAAACCTCAGCAAGGACAGACAGGATAGCAGAAATTACCTTCTCAATCTTTAGATAGTTGAAACAAAGATGACAATGAAACCCAGGCTAGGGCAACCTTAACCAGATAGTGTAAGGAGAATATGATCATATTTCAAGAAGCATCACTCGCTGAGGGTGGCCCAATTTCTTGGACCACCAAGGCTGCTACCCCAGAAGTGGGGTGAAGTTATCTTACTTCTGGGAGGGGAATAGCACTACTTCTTCAGATCTTCCTCCTTCTCCTTCCTCCCTTCCTGTCTGCCTTCAAGGCTATCACTGGATTTGTGTCTGCCCAGAAATGAGAGTTTCTTATGTTACCATATGTGGGTTGGTTAAATTCACCCTAGCTTTTTAACTTCTCAGTAACTATCCCCTGAATGCATCTCCTTGTGAGGTGATCTTTCCTTCCCATCAAAGTTTACCAATCCCTTTAGACACAGAGAAAAGGAGTACCTAAGATAAATTACTGATGACAGTACATCTTTGAATGACCAAGTTCTGTGAGTAAGCTGCATGGTTTCATTACGAGACCATCACTGCCTAGGCTTCCAGTGAGTGAACACAGGACTCACCTGTGGCAAAGACGACATTCCTCGAGACCAGACGATGCTCCACAATAGAGAACTGAGGGAGCTCAATCCTCTCCACTCCAGTGACAGCCTTATCACCTCCACGCCAGTAAAATTCAATGTCATCTGTGGTATAGCCATCTGCCATGAGAGAGAAGTGGGGACATGACAGAAATGAAGAATCTTCATTTTGTTTACATGCAAGCCTAAAGAAACTGTAATTAATAAAATGAAATAACAGCTTTCCCATATTTGAAGTAGATTTGTTCCATGTGCTTAACTATGAGAAAAAGCATCATCAAAGAACTAACTTTCGAATATTTTTGGTTACTACCTCTGCTGTTTCATTCAGACCACACTAGCACTGAGAAGTAGAGGAGCTGGGGAGGCTGAATGCTCTCACCAGAATTCTGTTTACAAAGCCTAATCATAGAGTTGGACTGGATGTTGCATAGAAATGAATTTAAAATATATATTAACAGCACTGCAGAAGATGGTTGTAAGAAAAAAATTAAACCTCAAGTATAAGGAATTCTGGAAAAGCAACTCCTCTCAAAAACTATGACAAAGTTAAAACACTGAGGGTGAATTTAACATGTTGAAGTTTGATAACATTAGAAAATTTCAGGGCAAAGTAGGGTCCTCCTTGGTATTTTTATATGGCTTCATCAGACGTTTCTGGCTATGAGGTCTGCCATCTTTAGAAATGCATTTGGTTGGGATACTATTGGACCTTAGAAAGGGTAGTATTTATTACCCGGATTATAGCTCCAAGCCCAGATCTTAGCATAGTGTACATTGTTCACCTTGTAATAAATCAATCAATGCTTCTTCAGAATGAGACAATAGGACAATCAAATCTGATGTTTCTGGCACCACCCAAGAGTCTTCCACAGAATTAAGTTAACTTTATTAGTAAGGTTGATTAAAACTTAGACCTAGAGAAAAATATCCTATCAGTATAACAGACTTTTTTTTTAAATTTGAATGTGTAATACAATGTAAGGCAGATACTCAATATTTGACAAATAGGCCAAAGCTATGGGCATGACTGCTCTCCATGGCAAATGTCATCTCCCTTGTCCCATCTTCTGCCTTCTCTCCTTCGATCTGGTGGTTACAACTTTTGTCTCCTCCCTTCTCTCTGACTTCCTTACATTCCATTCACATCTGGCAATCATGACAACAGTTCATAACACACACATCTTACCAAGCCACTCTTCTGCTTAAATCTCTCAAATGTTTCCCAATACAATTAGTGAAATAAATCCAAAGTCCTTACAAGGATGTGAAGAATCTACAGAACTGGACCCTGTATGTATTGTGAGTACATCCACTCTCTTTCTCTCGCTCACCCAGCCTGGCACCACTGGTCTTCTGGCTGCAGCTCAGACTGCATACTGTGCCCAGTAGTGTGTCCCTCCCCCTTGAGTGGGGGCTCACACTTCCCCACATTTCCATCTTGACTTAAATAAAAACATTTGTATATGTGTGTAGTCAGGTCACCAGAAAATCCTTTCTTCCACTCAAATGCTTTAACTATGGATTTTCTCTAATGGCTCCGAAGTGAAGGATTATTCCTGACTTTCTGAGGAAGTTGATAACAGACCATCCTACCCATTCTCCCCCTCAGTTCAAACATCACAGTAACAGAATCTGCACCCTCTGAGGCTACTCAGTATGTGTTCAGAGATTTGGAGTAGGAGCTGCTTCCTTATTTAGGTCCCAAACTTGCCTTCCTGAAATTTCCATCACCTCACTGGGTGTTGTGCCTTCCGGCCATACAGAATCCACTTTACTTCTAAGATAAACCTTCAATTACTGGGAAATCATCATTTTTCCACTGAGCTTTCTGTCCTCCATGCTAAATCTCCCCAGATGATTCCATTATGCATCACTTGACATGATTTCATGTCCCCCACTTTCTGAAAGCATGGCTCTCAGAAAAGTTGACAGTGATATACTGTCGAAATGAGGTGCACAGTGGGGTCAGTTCTATACAGGATGAAAACATGTGTACACCCAGCACAACTTCCCAGTATAGTTGCTCACAATGACACTCAATTCTCACCACAAATGCATCAGTATCACTGCAGTCATTTGCCTTCCCCCTAAAGAAATATGACAAGACTAAACCTAACTGAGACTAATTATAAACCAATCTATGATAGACCAGGATAAGTAACAACAGAAACAGCAACATCTGGATATGCCAGGAGATGTAGTTCAGGTATCAGGAGGGACACTTGTTTATTAGATAATAAAGATGCAGTTTTCATCCCTCACAAAAAATGTATTCAACACTGAAATACCAATAAGGCATCTGAATCTCTTAAAATTGAGAAAATTGCCAAAATGCAGGAATAGCTTGCTTGTAAAGCTGAGTTCCTGATGGGAAATGAGTTTTACTCCAACTGCCCAGGTTCCCAGGAGTAGAGCCACTCATGTGTGATGAAGCATATTGTGAGAAAATTGCATCTCAGTGTTTTTTCTCTTCTCACTGAATGGATCAAGGTGAGGAGAGCTTGCTTTCTTACATTTCAGTACACCAAGCAGACTCTCTTAATCAGATTAGACAGGAGAACTTCTTTATACTGAGTCTCTGTCTCTGTTTCCGTCTCTGTCTCTCTGTCTCTGTTTCTGTCTCTCTCATGACAGTTAAATTTGTGGAGTGGAGGATTAAGCCTCCTGTATTTAAGATAGTTAAAAACTATGGCAAGAAAATTATATATGCCTTGGAAAAGATGCCAAATAATGACAACACCTAAAATACAGTGAATGAAAAAGAAGTACAGATACCCACAGCTTTCAATTTCCAGCGTGCAGTTCTGCTCATCCAAGGGGTATCTTCTCAAGTCCATCATGCATGCTGCGGTTGTGGTGATTCTGAAATACACAGATGAAGGCATATATTAAAGATGGTATGAGAAAGTGTAGCAGAGAAACTGCTTCCAGCTAAACAATGAGTAATGTCCATGTAGGGCATCCTTTCCTCAAAGTACACCTGATTAAACATATTTCATAATGTGTACTGAATGAATAACTTTTCAGTATCCTATAGTCCAGCTTTATCAAGAAAAGCAATATAAAAACTTTAAATCTCTTAAAAGTACTCATGTTGACTTTGGATAATCTACGGCAGAGGAAGGTGTTTCTAAGGAAGCTTTGGTCTTCAATTTTTATAGCACAGGTTTATAGCACAGAAAAAACGTATGTGCAGGAACATCACTGATTAGATCAAGATTGAATTCTTTGATTTTCCATGTGAATGTCTATGTAGCTACAGATTCATAGGCTGCACTTTGGAACTCTCAGCCAAGCTTCTGCTTGATCCTATTTTATTATAGTTGTCTTTTGGGCTGGATCCTAATGATTCAGAGTTTCTCACCATGAGATCATATATCTTTTCAAAGAAAATATTTGGTTATTAATTATGAATGAAAATTGAGTTGGTTAGCTTTCCTTAAGGTCATCTGCAGCCATGGAAAGAATTTATATCATTAACTGTCCAAGGACAGTTAAACCTCCACCATGCAATGGTTAAATCAACTGTACATTAAGAGACAACACTTCTAGAAATGTCAGGTTATTTTCCAACTCTGTCTACAGCTTCATTTTAGGAAAACCAACCTACACAAATCCTCAGTTGAAATGCAATTCAGCCACTATATTTTATACTCTTTTTCTCTAGAATACCACCCACAGTTACAGATGACTGAACCATTACTTGATCAAGAATCTATGATGTGGCCTTGAGTTAAAAGGCAGAATGGAGCTAAAGGAATTCTCTTACATGGAAGTAAATTAAAGACAGGGCAAGAACAGAGCTGACCTTGCAAGTTCATGAATTAGAGGATTTTGATGTCATTTTGAAATTGGAGAGCGAGGCATGAGAAAGAATAACAGAGGTAGAGAAAATGCAGAGAGTAGATGGTTGAGGAAATAGTGGTCACTATGGCTGGATCACAGAACATGGCCTTGCAGGGCATGTACTACATATTTGAAGGAAGAGCATTTTTATAAATTATGTGGAATGTGTAACTGCCAGCCCTCATTATAGCCATTAGATGGTGGATCAGAAGAATGAAGAAGTAAGAATGTCTTTTCCTGAGATTCGAGTTACCTTGAATTCCCAACCACCTTCCATGTTCCACCTTTCTTGAAGCCCAGTAATAAGCTTTCTCTAGGTAGCCTTCCATATGAATATTCTATTTTGGGCTACATGATAAAGTTCTGTTCCTATCAGCAGATCTTAATCAAAACACCAGTAAAACACCAGGCATGTGCCAATTCTGTTGGGCTAGTCTCATTTAACATAAGTGAAGTAGTAAAATATGTCTTTCTATTAGCATATGGATAAGAAGCAGGTTGAGAAAAGCTCTACTCTTCAATGGCCAAAAAGAACAGTGAGGGAAAATGTCAACATATTTGGCAATTATGGATAAATACTAAATTATTCTCTACAAATAGTATGCAAGTGCTATGGAGACATATGCTATAAAGCCCATACCAATGGTGAAAGTGTGTCCTTTCCAAATGTCATAACACTTTCAATTATCATTCTAAGGAGTGGATAACATTCTATAATCCAAAGTCAACACCTAGCTCTTTGGTATATTTTTCCATAGCATCTGACTTTCTAGACAACTGAAGAACCAGCCTCACACTTAAATTCTGGCATGTTTTATGGCATATTGACAACCCAACATCCGTACAAGATGTCTATAAGGCAAAATTAGAATAAATTTCTGTTAAAATTATGAATTTTATGAAGAAAGGAAAAACATCTCTACTGGAAATATTCAAGTTTTTAAGTTCCTACATATTTTGGTACCTATTCATTTGAAAGGGCCAATAATTGAGATTACGATTTTGTTTTTCTTATTCTCAGTGTCACCGATACAAACAGGAACACAAACATATCCAGATTGTTTAGAGACTCACACTTATTGTGACATTATGTAGTGTGTTTCATGGGCATTACTGGAAGGGGAACATGATGCTGGAAGAATCTATAAAAGGGTATTCAGTATCCAGTATACCTGTTGTCTCGTCTTCTCATTCTGGCATAATACTGCCTATAAAATGGAGCCCTTTTCCTAATTTACTTGAAGAATAAGGTAAAAATATGTATTACTACTCTTCTCCTTATGGAATAAATAACAGAGAAACCCTTTCATGATGAAAAGTATGACATGAGCGCCTACTCATGGTACAAACATGGTACAAACATCCCTACAAACATAGGGATAACACATGAAGGAAAGAGGTCTGTGTGCTACTGGGACAGAAAGGTAAGAAAAGGGAAAGGAGGAGTGGGAAGAGGAATCAAGAAGAGTGCAACACTCCAAAACCTCTCCCTGAGCCACAAAACCTTCTTCCAAGTTGGGCTAAATTCATGACTACTAGGGGAGTGAACTTTTTGCATGAATTGGCCAAATTTTGAGGCCTGAGGCTTTGCAGAAACTATGGAAGGGAATTTGAATACTCAGAACTGAGACCTCAAGCCTAGTTAATGGGAATAGAACAAAGGCAGGAAAGCCACAGTGACTGAATTCCATTTGCATAACCCCCAACCTCTACCCACAACTTTTCATATTTTCCTCAATAAACTTTATTTGTCCTGAGAGGAGAATTTAACCAATATCTAGCTCCATTTCCACAACCCTCTGTAATCTGAGAATTCCACTACCATTTCTAAGGAATAGTGGTAGGGTCAGTGAGAAACATGACTGGCTAAGGAGTTTTGCATTATTACTCTTCAGTAGATACTTTTTTGGAAGTGTCATTGTTTCTTTTTTGTTTTCTAATTGAGAGAGAACAGTGCTTAGAGTGTCTAAGGCTGCAATTTATGCCTATGATAAAAAAAAGAGAGAGAGAGAAAGATGATAGCCAAGTGACAGAAAAAGTGTCTACCATTCAATATGTACTTTCTTTGCAAATAGTCACACTTCAAGCGTGCTGAAAACAGAAATTAAAAAAAAAGATAGAGAAGTTGAGAAGTGATGGATAGAAGACTAGGAAATGCTACAGAAAAGGATTTTGATTTATTATCTCAGGGCTCAGAACAGCATGCTGTCGTATCTGTACTTTATGTAACATTGGTTGAGAGTTTACTTTGTACCCATCTCTATGCTCAGGCCTTAAACACTCATGCATTTAATTAATAACCATATTATGAAGGTGTTATTACCATTTTCATTTGAAAGATAAACAAACCAAGGCTAGGAAACATTAAATAGCTTGACCACATTAACAATGCTGCTGGAAGACAGATACAGAATTCAGATCCAAGCAGACAGAATCCTATACTACCTCTTTAACATCTCTTCTGCCTTAAAGTATGACATACTGTATATTCAACATTTTAAAAGGCTACTCATGGTGTGTGGTTCTTGTTGAAGATCAAAGGAGGTAGAGAAATTTGTAATTATATATATAAATACACATATACATATCTAAAATATATACACATAAAGTATACATATATATACACAGAGAGAGATCATATACATACATGTAATATTCTTATCATATATATGGCAAGTTGTAAATACAATATGTAAAGGAAGATAGTAAATATTCTACATGCTACACGTGCAGTAACAATAGTGATATTTAACCCATTGTGGAATAGGGTAGAATTTAGTAGGTAGTCCTGCTTTTATAAGTGATATATTCCTAAAGATGTGTTTCATAGTCAAAAGTATGAAAATCCAAGGAATAAACTCAAAGTTTATATGAGGAGCGTTATCCCCAGTAAATTTAAAATTCTATTATGTGATAAGTGTCATCTTTGAACACCATCTATAAACTATCCCTGTGTGTCGTTTGCCTGCACAGCTGAGTGAGGAAGCCTGAGTCAAGAGACCCATGGCTTTTAGCATGTTGCAAGGTTTTCACTTTGTCTCAATTACATTAAGATTACGAGCTTTACTTTGGTGTCAGCACTTCCATTTTTAAATTTTCACCAATTGAAAATAATAAGGGCAGATGCAAACTCTTCATGTCATTGCACAAATGCAGAATTCTCCGCAGACCACGTGGAGAAGCTGCTGTGGAAATGTTTTTGTTGGTTGATCATGACACTAAATACCATAAACATTTACTTGAAATATTCACTTGTCAGCCAAGGTACAAAAGCCCTCCTTGCCAATGCTGCTGGGAAAGGTGGACTATAGGCAGTCTGGGATCATTACTTGTAGTGAATCATTTAGGCAATGCACACAATCTCTTTATCAACTTGTACTAATCTTGTAGATTCATGGTAAATACCAGACAGGACAGAGATGAAAATGTCCTTGACTGGCATTCTCAGAGCCCTACCAGAACTAAAGTATCTCAGCCCAGCTACCTCTCCTCTCATTACTCCCATTTTAATGTTTTCATTACACTTAGAACCATCTACAATTGGAGCACCATCTATTTGTTGATTTGCAGGTCGCTTTTACTTCCTCAGGCAAGTCTGAGAGCAGGGCCTTGTCTCTCCTGTTGGTGGCCATCTCCTCAATGCCTGAAATAGTTCCTTGCATGCACACAGTAGGTGTCCCATAAATACTCATTGAACAAAAAAAATGACTTTGAAGATATGGGGACCAGGCATAAGCACACAGCATGGAACTCAAGAAGTGGAAAAAGAAAGAGATATCTTAACCTTTCTTGGATTTAATCCCCCAAATCTAAGTGTAAGAGGCAACCTGCCCTCTCTCAAGCACTCCAAGCAAGAGCCCTGGCCCTGCACAATTACTGACTCACTGAGAGCTCCATGGGCTCATTTGTCAAGATGCCTGGGGGACACCCCCTGTGTTAATAGCCAAGTGGTCTCTGTGAATCTTTCTGCTGCAGAATGAATTCTTAGCGGGCCAATGTTGATGTGCATGAGTTTT